AATATGTTTAGCGTACGACGATGTGTGGGTCTGCAGCGTCAATTATGACATGATATTGTTTCTTTTTTTGTTGGAGTCGGTACGGACTTCTCTTTCCCGACCAGTCTGTGTGGATATCAAGAGCAGTGTGAGAACACGTTTGCTCCAGCTGGGTCAGGTTCTCAGTGGGCGAATGGTGGCCGAGAATTTACATTATCGGGACTGTGGCAGGAAGTCTAAATGTCCTTAAAATCACAATCGAACTTATTCATAATGGTGAGGCTAGTTTTACTACTGTGCACTTCTCTAATGGCGGATAGGCAATTACTGCACATAGTGTTTTCAAGCGCAGTTTGGTTGCACTATGCCACTCATTGGGCGAATATACAGCGCAGAGAAGGGCACTGGGTGGTACCGTTTGCCGTTGTGACCTGGCGGATGCCTAGCCAACATCAGCAGCTACGTAAGTACATATTGATACGGGTACCTGGCTGACCGCGAGGACCGAACTATATATATATAAAAAATCTTTCTTATTTGTTACTGACCATTGGTCAGTTGCATTCGCTTAGAATATGTCTGGCACTATGATAGCCCCATGTGTGCTCTTACAAGCAATCCTCGTATTACAGTTTTTTGAAAACCTAAGGGCCACTATCGGTACCTATAAAACTCTGCGGTCATTACGACGGACGTGCTTTAGCGAACACCATAACTGGAATACTGCTGATATTTTTAAGCAATACGTTTTCCATAATGCAGAATACAGGTGAGCGAACATGGACACTCTTTCTCTTTTTCAATTTCATTACTCACCTCTCTCTTTTTCGGGGATTCCATAGCGCTTACATGGTCGAAGAAACGAAGCCCCATTTACAAGCGCTGCCATTACTCCCTGCGGTCCAATTTGAAATTCAAATCACCTGAACGAACTATGCCGCGGATTCTGTTTGAACAAGCGTAGCGAACAGCGGCAAAAGATGAAACGCAATAGTGCAATTACGCTCAGCTTTCCCTTAAAGGTACACACACCGCTTCCGTGTTGGCACTTACCTTCCCTTACTCCCTTTATTTTCGTGTATTTTGGTGACATGTCAAGTGAAATCATAATCTTGTTTATGCTGCTGAGATCCGTGTTCCCCACACTCGTATTTGCACAGTTCTCCGCTCGCGACGGCGCCGCACAACTGCGTTTGCATACGCAATGTGAAAAACGAAAAAGCAAAACAACTTAAACAGTAGTGCAGAAAACGTGCCGTGTAAGGAGTTAGTAGAAATACGGGAATAGAAGATTGCATAAAAGAGAGAGAAAGATAAAATACCTGATCTGAAGCTCGTTACAAGAACGCAAAATAGAAAGATAAAAGGTGTCGCAGCGCATTTTAGATTTCAAGGCAGCTGGAGCTGCTAAATCGTTGTGCCCTGACTCAGGAGCGCCAAACAAAGTAAGCCAGCGTGGTCGGCGGCAGATCCGAAATCTGGAAACGGTGAGAAACCGCGTGTAAGAGACAGTGCGCAAATCTAAATAAACACACACAGAGAGACGCGCAGACACCAGTGCGCATGCATGCATGCACGCACACACACACACACACACACACACACACACACACACACACACACACACACACACACACACACACACACACACAAACGCGTGCACGCGTATGCATGTGCGCTCAACAAACAAGTACAAGTATTAAACTCGCTTTTATCTAAAAGATAATAAACAGAAAAAACAAACGGTGCCTACTGAACTGTAGTTCGCTCGTCAGTTGCGTCTTCAAACTACCGTCGTTTCGAAGCAAGTTTTGGATGACAACGGCGCCACTCGTTATGCACAGACAGTTGCAGCAAAGTGGGCGGACGGTGGAGGGCGAAGTCGTGGATTTAGCATACGGAACGAGTGACGTCTGCTGAAGCGAGAGATGCATAGAGAGTGCATGCTTCGAGCCCTCTATGGCTAGCGTTGTTGACAGCTGCCGGCGCCTCCGCCGCAGGAAAAATGCCACGCGACGACGACGTCTTCGTGCGCGCTGCCCTTCGAATCTACACCAAATGTGCGATGGCCGCAATGTATATTTCACGAGTCCCGGTCAAACAAGGCTTGCCTGAATTCAACCCGTTCGTGCATGGGAACTGAAACGTAAGCTAGCTGCTACAGCTCGAAGAGGCACGGAGATGTATAAACAATTATGAAGACTGTTAAAACGTGGACCTCGTCGCACTGACTATTTGCCTACTGAAAGACTGAAAGTAGAAAACTCACAGGCTCCTAAACAAGGTCACCCGTGGTTTTCACAGTGACGATGTCAATATTTGGATGCGATCGTTTAGATATTGTAGTCGATTACTACAGATAAAATTTCTAGCGCGAATCAGAAAAAAAGAAAGGACATGTTACAGCGAAATAAAGGTGATACCCTAGGTTGACATTGTAAGTATGACATAACTAGAGACCGTAATTAAGGAAGTAAAGATCAAAGATGTCTGCTTTGCTCAAACACAAAGCATTGCAAAAGTGGCAAGGAGGTTTAGCAGCGTGCGAAGAAGGTTCTTATAAAAGTTCTTTTTTTTGCGCAACATCATCGGTTCCACTAAAGCACATCGGTTCGTACACGCTGGCTAGGCCGATGTCTGAGTACAGCCACGGCGTTGTTTCGTATCTGCAGGGCTCCACGCGCGGCCAGCGTGGCTAGACGCACGCCGTCTCAAGGCCGAAATCAGGTCACCGCAGACATTCGCGTACGCAGAGCGTTTAGGCGTGCTTACGACATTTGCGCATGCGCGGTCCTCAGAGCGCGTACCGCGCACGCCCGGAGAGTGTACGCAGAGCATACGTGTGGTTGGGGCTTAATACATTTCAACAGGATGAAACTTTAGGCGGGCTGGTTCTAATGCGAGCTTTAATAGGTGCAAAAGGACAACTAATAAAAAAGGCGGCTAACAGGAAGTCGTGCAACTTAAAACTCACGTAGTTATTAGACAAAAAAACCTCATCAAACGGTCATCCCTGAAAACTCCAGCCATGAAGACCATACAAAAAACGACACAATCTAAAACAGCATATCATCATTCGGGAAGCCACATGTTCAGGGAGCAAATGTTTTGGTTCCTTGTACACTTGTCGAAATGCGCACCTGGCCATGCACTGCAAGGTCTGATATGAAGGTGCGTACCGGCGCCCCAGTTCAGAAGGATATATAAGTGGTTAGATTTGAATAAAAGGAGAAAAAAGTGCCGACCCATAACTGTCTCTCTTTGCGAGGACAGCTCAACAGGTCAGAAAAGGAATGAGGTAGGGGAATAGATATAAGAAAGATAAGATTGGAGAAAAGAGGGAACAACAGTGAGAGTCACTCGAACTGCAGCTCGCAACGGACTTTCAAGCCCCCGCGCGCCACGCGTAGCTGACCACTAAAGTCCCCCAAGAAGGCCGGAGAAGTATCACCGTCGCAAGAAGGAAGACAAACGGGCCAGAATGGCGCGTTGTAGAGAGTGCGTGAACCGTTCACCGGGTGCATAGCCCCTGCACGAAAACAATCGAGGTCCGTATAGCACTCATTAGTAAGAGTCCTGTAGACCTCCATTGGGAGGAACCAAAGGTACTCCAGGTCATAAGCGCTCAAACGCCGTAGAGGTCTCGAAGAAGGCGATGAGCGCAGCGTGCGCCTCCACTTCATTAGGAATGTGTGCGCTCGGGGAAAGAGAATTACACCAACAGTGGTGCTGGAGAGTCCCAGTTTGCGTTAGGCACCGATACACTTGAAGATAATGTGACGGAGTGTTTTGAGTTGCGACAATAATGGTAGTTTAGGTCTCCCCATCCCGAATGTGTGTGAATCCATTCCGCAGTGCGGTATCAGATGGTACGCAGGCTCGTCGGTTGCTTCGTTGCCGGATATTCTAACGTGCGCGGGTATCCACTGCAGCACAAGGTCACACCTGAGGTACAGCGCTGCTACGAGCTTTCGCGCGATCTGCTAACAACAGGAGGTCTTCGGCCACCCCGCGTGAGCAGTTGGATAGCAGCACAAGAGTCCGAGAGAACGGCAGCTGACAGAACTCTCAGTTGAAGGAGGGCATTGGCAGTGACGTCAAGCGTGGTGAGTTACCTACCGTAGAAGATACCCGGCAGCCGAGACGGTACTGACTGTGGAGCTCCAGTGAGGGCACAATACACGCGGCTGCGGCACAACCATCGTTTAACGCTTAACCGTCGGTTAAAACGGGAAGCCACCCCACGACAAATCCGTCGAACGTAACGGCAGTTTCGTGATGAAGCGCACTCTCTGGCGTCGTGCACTGCTTGCCACACCTGGTATCCGTGTACGAATGTTCAGTGGACAATGCCGGCAGGGCGGGGCGTTATGGCCATTCACGTTCAGGCAGCTCAATACCAAGGCATTGAATGCCGCAGCACATTGCCCCATCCATAAGTGCAGCAGTGAAGTGAGCCGCAGTGCCAGCTGCTGTCCGTGGCGCGAGCGTTTCATTCCCTCTATGTGATACAGCACTCGACGGTCGGCCCGGAGTGACAGCGGCATGTCTCCTACCTTGGCGAGTGTTGGGCCGAATTGAGATGATCGGGGCAGGCTTAAGAACTCACGGATTGCAGTACGCTGTGCTGCGTCCAGTGACTCCCAGTTGGAACGCGTATGCGTCGCGCGAAAGAGGCTGTACCAACTGCATGCCACAGCCTTGCCGTTGTATATACGAAGGGCTGAAGTCTGTGGGCCTCCATTGCCGTGCGCAAGGAGCACACGAGCGGTGGAGGTGAAGCTGATCGCTGACCGCTGGGGGCTATTTGAGTCGTTGGTCCAGCTGCACTTCGAGGAATGTCACTCGCCTTTTCCAAGAGATGAGAATTGTTTGAAGAGTGAATCTTGGTGTGTTACGTCAGGTGGCATAGCTGGGGTACTTCAGCATCGCCCCCGTATCACCGGTGAAAGCCTCATCCACGTTTCCTTTATGAACGCGTCAACGGAATCCAGGATGGTTTGGACAGTCGTGCGAACACTTCAGCCACTGGGTACGGGTCCCATAATAAATCCCGCAATGTCGTCCGCGTAGACCATGACGCGCACATCACAGGGCAGGGCATGGCGAATTTGGTCGTCGATGCCAAACATGGCGAAGTTGAACAGGAACAGGCAGAGTACACTGCCCTGCGGAACACCAACACTCACGGGACACGGCTCACTAAGGACTCTACCGATGCGCACACGCATGGTTCTACCACAGTGGAAAGCAGTAACGTGCGTGAAGAAGAGACCGGACACTCCGAGATCGCGTACCATGTTGAGGATGGTGGGCTGTGACAGGGAGTCAAATGCCGCCCTAATATCAAGCAGGAGGAGGTAGCCGGCCTCTTCGGTGTGTTGTGCCTCCTCTAGCGTTGCAATGACTTGGCAAGCGCATCGGCAGTGGCACGCGAACGGCAGAAGCCGCACTTCGAAGGCGAAAAAACATCACACGCATGCACGCACAAAAGCTACTTATGAGTTGAGCCACCGGCAAAGTCCGCGAAGTAAAAAAATTTTGTGCCCTTCACTGGCGGCAGCCCAACAATGGGGTTCAATTATTCTGGAATGTCAAGAAAAACATATCCAGGGCATGTCAACGAGTGCCTCGGTAATTCATTCGAGTTGCATCAATGTCATGGCCTCGAAGAGCCTGTCCGCTGTGGAGGTAAGCGAAATAGGATGGTAGGACGCCGGCAACGAAGCGGGTCCGCCTTTGAGCACGGGCACGACGATGGCTTCGCGCCATTCTTGTGGCACTACTCCCGTACGCCACAAGTAGTTCTAGGCGGCCAAGAGCACTGGGAGCTGGTACTCCTCGATGTTGCGAAACATCTGGTATGTAATGCCGTGAGTGCCGGGCGCCGAGCGCCATTTAGGCGACACCAGAGACACATGCAAATCCCCGAGATTGAATTCCTCAGTGCACAAAGCGCGTACTTGGTTGTGCATGCCGGCTCGCTGGATTCCGTGCCGACCGGTTGTGCCCTCGCGATCTCCGACGTCACCGTAGCTCTAGCCGACTGGGCTGGCCCTACGTCATATCCTGACACCGATCTCCGACGACAGCGTAGCTCTGACCTACTGGACTTGCCTTACGCCATCTCCTGACGCCGACAAGAGCTGTCGCAAGTGGTGCCCCGTTCTCGGACTCTTGTGACCGTGTTTCCATCTTTCCTATGTCTCCTATTCCTCATATATCCTCGCTCGCTGTCCCAGCACATCTCCCCCTCTCTCTCTCTCTCTAACTATATATATATATATATATATATATATATATATATATATATATATATACTGTGAGCATTTTTCATGCGCGTCATCTTATCATATATTCATACTCATCATCATCAGTCTGACATGTGTTGTGGGGCAGAGGCTCGGCAAGTAAAAAAAAAGTGTCTTGCAGCCAAAACGTCGCCTTACAAGTGGCGGAGGTATCCTTCAAAAACACAGCGGTTCATTTGATGTCAATTCCAAGTTTTTGAGTCACACTTCCGTCGCTGTACATCGAATTGAAACACAGGGCAATACGATTGTACGCCGCCGCCCATATCGAGTGTCATCTGCAGAGCGGAAAATCATCGAGAACAATGCTGCTGATATGCTCAAACGAGATGTTATCCGGCCTTCGTCCAGCAAGTGGTCCTCACCTGTAGTACTAGTCCGAAAGAAGGATGGTTCGGTGCGATTCTGCGTCGATTATTGACCACTTAATAAGATCACGCGCAAAGACGAGTACCCGATCCCACGAGTCGACGACGCACTTGACTTTCTGCAAAGCGCTGAATTATTCTACATCCTCAATTTACGGTCTGGTTATTGGCAAATAGCTATGCACGAAGCGGACAAAGAAAAAAACTGCCTTTGCAACACCAGACGGGCTGTATAAATTCAACGTTATGGCATTTGGTTTATGTAATGCCCCTGCCACGTTTGAATGCATGATTGACACAGTTATACGTGGCCTAAATTGTAAAAAATGTCTCTGTTATCTAGACGACAGCGTCATTTTCTCCTCTTCTTTTCATCAGCATCTTAATTGTGTGGACAGAGTTTTGACGTGTATTTCTAATGCTGGAATTCAGCTAAACACAAAGAAATGCCATTTTGCCAACAAGAACATCAAGGTGTTGGACCACCTTGTCAGCAAAGATGGCGTTCGCCCGGATCCTGACAAGCTTGCTGCCGTGATACGCTTCCCTCAGCCAGAAAATCAGAAACACCTACGAAGTTTACTGGGCCTCGCGTCCTACTTCCGCCGCTTCATCAGCCATTTTGCTGCCATCGTGTTGCCACTGCATAAGCTGCTGAGATCCGGATTAACTTTCGCTTGGAACGACGAATGAGAGCGTGCCTTTCAAGCCCTCAAGCATGCTTTAACATCCAACCCTGTTCTGTGCCATTTCGACGAGAACGCACCTACATGTCTCCACACCGACGCGAGTGGCCATGGCATTGGTGCAGTTCGTCTACAGCGGGATGCCACCTCACGGGAAAGAGTTATTGCGTGTTCTAGTCGTGCTCTTACGGCTGCTTAACATAAGTACTCCATAACTGAGCAGGAGTGCTTTACTGTCGTTTGGGCCATACAAAAATTCGACCGTATTATTACGGTTTCCACTTCACAGTTATTACAGACCATCACGCCTTGTGCTGGCTATCGTCACTGAAAAACTTGTCTGGTCGCCTCGGTCGTTGGGTGCTCCGCCTACAAGAGTACGATTTTGACGTCATCGATAAGTCTGGCAAACGACACCAAGATGCAGATGCTATCTCTCGCTGCCCCCTTCCACTGTCATCATCGAGTACGTCAGGTGATTACTCGTCTGGTGGGCAAAACACTGCGTCACCCCTCACATTATCACAACTTTCGGTTATGGACACGCCGGCTTCAAATCGCTACACCGAGTTCGCCACACGCCAGCGTGATGATCCATATTGCAATAGCATAATTCAACGCCTAAACGGTCTATCACCTACTCCTATTGCTAGATTGCGCTGACAACTACGGCAATTTAAGCTCGATAACAACGTGCTCCATTGTTACGTTTACACTACTGATGGACACCATCTTGCTAGGAAGCGCAGCCACTATTACAAAGAACACACAACTTGCGTGTGTGTTGTGTGTTGTGTGTTCTTTGTAATAGTGGCTGCGCTTCCTAGCAAGATGTATCCTTACCAACTGGCCCGATACAATGGTTTATTGATGGACACCGCTGGGTTCCAGTACTTCCACGTTCTCTACGTCACCAAGTCCTCGAAGCCTTTCACGACGACCCATGTGCAGGCCAGTTGGGATTTCACAAAACACAAAGTCGCATCAGGAAACGTTTCTTCTGGCCTGGCATCGCTATCTTTGTGGCCAAGTACGTTGCATCTTGCCATTTGTGTCAACGACGAAAGCGACCAACTTCCTCTCCTGCTGGCGTTCTGCAACCCATCCCGTGTCCCAAGACTCCTTTCGCCATCGTTGGCATAGACCTGCTGCGACCTCTCCCCATCACGCCAGCAGGTAATCGTTGGATTGTGACTGCTGTCGATCACCTGGCACGGTACGTAGAGACTGCTGCACTACGCACAAGGTCTGCTTCAAACGTCGCAGACTTCTTTCTCAACGCCATTGTATTGCGTCACGATGCACCTCACGTCCTCCTGAGTGATCGTGGCAAGACGTTCCTGTCCACCATAATGGAAACCCTGCTCACAACCTGTGGTACAGTACATAAGACGGCGTCAGCCTACCACCCCCAAACTAATGGGCTGACACAGAGATTTCACCGGACACTAACAGACATGCTGTCGAGGTACATCGCACGAAACCACGACAACTGGGATACAATTTTGCCTTTTGTGACGTTCGCCCATAACACCGCTGTTCAAAGAACGACTGGCTATTCGCCTTTCTACCTCGTGTACGGCCGTTCACCGACATTCACCATCGACGTCTCTTTCCTAAATGTTCCAACTGATGCCTCGGCAACCGTATCAGAGCTGTTCATCACAAGGCTCAAGGAATGTCGGCAACGGGCTCGTCCTAATACAGAAGCCAATCAGCAAGATCGCAAGCAACGCTACGACAGCTCTCATCGCAACGTCTCCTTCAGTCCGGGGGATTAAGTGCTGCTTTGGACGCCAATTCGTACTCCAGAATTGTACGATAAATTTCAGTCACGCTTCATTGGACCCTATACAATCAATGAACAAACGTCACCAGTGAACTACCGTGTCACTCCCAGCGACCTTTCTTCGGATCGTCACTGTCATGGTTCGGAGATTGTCTACGTATCGCGTCTGAAGCCATTCGTACGACGTTTCGTTTCCGTCTAAGACGCGTCCGGGCTGGCCGCTCACGCGTGGGGGCAAAATAAGTGTGAGCATTATTCATGTGCTTCATCTTATTATATGTACATACTCATGATCATCAGTCTCACCTGTGTTGTGAGGCAGAGGCTCAGCAAGTAAAAAAGAAGTGTCTTGCAGCCAAAACGTTGTCTTACAATACTTTTAATCCTTCCTAATCCCCATCCCTTACAAACTACTGTAGATGTGTCGCACCCTGATGCAGACAGTTACAGGGCTCACTTTTTTCTTCTTTTCCCTCTTACAACCACTTCCCCCTGGTGAGAAAAAAGCGACGAGGTTTGTATCATTCTCGGCGATGGTGCAGCGGGAGATGGGGAACATCCATCAAGCATCAGGGAGCACTGAGGCGAAGGGAGTCAGCTGGTCACTCAGCCTATTGCTAGAAGAGAGTTCATATGCAAGTGAGTGAGTGAGTAACAACTTTATTAGTCGAAGGGGTGAGGGGTAAGGGAGGCTAAGCCACGAAGGCTGCCAGGCTGTGTTTCTCGATGACTTCTTCCGCTCGTTTCAGGACCCGTGTCTGGATGTCTATGTCGTTGCTGGAGAGTCGGACGCCCTGGTGCCGGAGCCCCTGGTCACCTACCACGACATCACTCAGCACTATCGCCTCGAGCGATATTTCTATTCACATCCTCACAGCAGCCTTCCCAAGCGGTCCGAGATCGCCTGGCGTCGCCTACAGACCCGCACCTTCCCGTGCCCCCTCGTGTTTTCATACATGCACCCAGGTGCCATCGATCCACGCTGCTGCCTGTGCGGCAACGTTGCCTCGTTGAACCACATCCTCTGGGGCTGCCCGGAGGATCCCCCGCCCGCCGACCTCCTTTGCTCACCCCCCACCGAGGGACAATGGGAGGCCCTTCATATGCAACTTCACTCTAAAAAATAGAGTGACGTTCTCTTCATGTAGGAAGAAACAGCGATGTGCCCAATGTTCGTCTTTAACTAGAGAAACAATGCTCCTTTCGCCACTGAGAAACATGTTTCTCCCTATGAGAATCAAGATGGCTGACCCCAGGTTAGCGAAGCGAGTAGGCTTAGCAAATGCATCGATTCTCGACTAATAAGGAGTACAAGGCACTGACAGTTACAAAAAAACGGTCCCGCTGAGCTTGAAGCCATGCATAGAATGCCAATGGCATTCCGAAGGCTGCGCCATCTCTCGACCACTGCGAGAGTAAGTTTTTAAGCCTCCGAGAAAGCAAACGTTTCCCGCGCGCCTGCCATTTTGGAGGTCATGTCTTTTTTATTCATCCACTTGTTACTCGGAGAGGGCGCAGCATTCAGGTCAGACTTGGTCTCAGTGGTGGTAGGTGTTCTGCGGTCGCGTCGACCTCGTTTAGTTATTTCATGTTGACCTTTGCTCATATTCAATTCACGTGATTACCACAAGTGTGGGCATTAGCAATGGACACAGTACACCGCTAGACCTCCAAAAACAATGTTTTTCATGCGGTAACGACCGTCTTCGCAGTGTATACGTACCTTACAACGCGGGTCGTGCGAAAAAATTGACCTCGCACCCGACGGTGCTCTTTCGTGAGTGATGGCAGTCGCTGTTTGCGTCGCGGCAGCTCGATTACTTGAGTGGAAGAACTAGCCCTGCAGTGCGCAAGTTTACTATAACGTTATGGCATGCTGTACCTACATACTTCTCTGCTTCAGATGCGTCCCGAGATTCGCCTCGCGTGTCAACTTGCAGTCATTGTGCGTGTCACGTTTGCGTTGTTAGCGCTATAGCTGTGGTGGTTACTAATACTCTGGATTTGGAATACTCTTTTCACAAAGGTGAGCGAGAGCGTTAGTACTTACCTGCTGTGCACAGCTGTTACTAGAAGTGCATTTTGTGTTGAGTTTCTCACGACGAAGGAGAATCATGTGGCCGAGAAAGGCATACTGCACGCGTGCATAATTCTGTCCTACCTCTCAGTGCTGGCATGGGCAATTCAAAACGCATGCGATTGAGAACTTGGTTTTACTGACAGAGGTCATCGGTTTACTTTTCACAAAAGTGTAGTATGATAGTGTTTATAACGTTTCTGATGACTGTAATCTAGTCTGGCAAATAAACGCTTGGTGAAACCTCGCAGCCTGTTTTTCTTTGTGCTTTCACTTGCCGTGGTAGCATAACCTCATTGGGTGTCATGTGACTATGCTGGAATACGGAGGTTTGACTTCCGGCCACGGCGGCCGTATTCGAATGGGGGGAAAATGCAAAGGTCACCCATATGGCGGTAGCGGCACATGTAATCCCACCAATTTTATATGATCGTGCTTTCACGCATGAACTGTACAGTGGGATCACGTTTCCTAGGATGTTCAAAAATTAGGAGCGATGATTATTTATGCGCCTCGTTGAATTCATTAGCGCTATTGGTGCCGTGCGAAACTAAAAATGCGTATGCTTACCAAGTTTGTCGACACTGAAAATATTCATTATTTTTGTACAGCCTAAGGTGATCGATAATGCAAGACTTTAGGAAAGCAGAGCTCCTTATATTCGTAACAGATTGGCAGTATGAAACAATGCGAGACACACACGGAAGTTTGCGGTGCATCGTGCGAATGCCTGGCGATAAAAAAGAAAGACTTCTTCTCTACACCCATAAAACAAAAAATAAACGTCACTCCTGCATTGCTTGCATCAATCTTAGGTAAAAGTAATCGTTCGCGACTGGCCGCGACCGGCTAGGTTCGGCGTGCACATGAACGTGGGCATGATCCCCGTGGTTGAGGAGAAACTTGAGCACTGAAGGAGAAACGTTGCTCTTTCAGTCCATGCCGCGAGAGGGCGTGACGGGTAAAGCGCCCGAAAGGGAGAAAGTCGCTGCGCCGAAGGGAAAACGAAGCCCGTTTCTGCATTCTCACTCCTTTTTTCAGAGTTTTCAATGGCAAGGGATTGGAAGCGTAATTCAGCGGAGCACATGACAGCCCTGAATAATCCCCATGCACGCGCGAAGCGTTTCGGGTTGTCCAGCGTGACGCATAGACTGCCCAAGAGCTGTCGCGTTTTTGCCGTACGTGTCAGCGACACACAGCGTCAAGGCGATTGTAAAGTGCTCAGTGCTCCTTGTGGTCATTTTTGCTCCCACGTTCTGGAGCCTCCGGCGAACCTCGCCTCAATTAAAATGTTTCATGTCATGAACTGGTGTTCCCACTGGCACTACGCACTCGCGCGAGGCCGCTTCGACGCAGCAGGCGACGTGAGAAATGTAGGCGACACCGGAAGGTGGGCAAGCAGCCGACAGTTGCCGAAAACGCGGCCAGTAAGTCAAAGTGTATGTGCGCGTGCCCGCGCGGCGCCGACCAAGTGGTTCTAGGTGGAGGGGGTAGTGATCAGAGTCCTATGTCCCTGCGTCAATCTGCCATTCATAATAGCACTGGTCACTCACAAGTGAGAAGTTTATCACTCTGCTCTTGACGCAACGACGAACGAAAGTTGGACAACCCGTGTTTCTGATAAGCAAGCCTGTCCCACTAATGGTATCCAACAGGTTTATGCCTCTGCAGTCAGTGTAATCATTTCCTCACATCGTATAATTGTGAGAGCTGAAGTTCCCGCAGATAGCTCAATAACCTTGGCGGCGTCGCACCAAACGGTTCACAAAGGCGTGGCCCACCTGTGCACGTGGTTGACATAAACACACGTGACTGCCATGTCGCACTCACTGATACGCACTTTTACCGCCACACACTCAACCTCACTGCACAGGATGTCGCAAACGTCAACGGTGCAATGTGCGAGTCCATGGATCATGTGAATAGAGGCTCAAGAGCGGGTGAATGGATATTTTGGGTCGTAGCACACATCTAAATCGCAATCGCGCACTTGACACCTAGCTTTGCAATGGTAACTAATGTAACCGATAAGGCTACATTAGCGGCCGCGCACATAGGCCTCTTTAGTGCGACAATGTCGTTGAACTGCAAGTACTCGGCGAGCTCACCTAGATAGCGGCCAAAAGAACGATAGATGCGCGGTTGCCGTGCACAGTATTACTTGTCATGGTGTGACATAGCTAGTTGCATAGCCAGCGCTACTACGCAGAGTGGTGGGTGAACTGGGCAGTCATAAGGGAGGATGTCCGACGCGGCACGGAGGGTGGGCGTGAGTACCGAGATCGCCGAGCCGTCATCAGGTGCAGTGGTGTGGCTCGTGGATGGGGCAGAGAAGCCACAAGTGGCCACCGAGTATGAAAACCCCTCTCGAGTGGCAGAGTTCTGTGTCGTGGAGTCGTTCTTTCGAACAACTGCGAATGCCTGGCGGCGTATCATGGAGCATGCTGATTGCGCCCGGACCTTCAGCAGCTGACTCTTTTGTTGCCTGCGAGGACAGCGGGGTTCTGTGGCCAAATGGGCGGTGCCACAGAATGTACAACGCAGACGCTGCGCGGGCAATCGGCATAAGGGCGCGGCCCGCCACAGAGCACACAACGTTCATGTGCGGTGCAGGTAATGTCCATGTGCCCGTAAGGACCGCACCATTCGCAGTGCACAGGACGAGAGCGGTGAGGACGAACGCGGGGTCTTTAGTGCAGTTCAATGTCCATCGGAGGTTTCCGCCTGGAGAACATCACGACGACACTGCAGCCCGATCGCGTGCATGGAGTACCGGGAGCTGCGATGCGATGTTGTCGCGGAGGTTCTCCTCCGTGAGCGCAAGGTCGACGATGTGGCTTACTCCACTGCAGATCTTGGTGCAGTGGTGGCTTACATACACTACGTAAGAACTAAGACGAAAATTTTGAAATGTTTTTGTGCAACGTGGGAAGGTTCTAGCCGTATCAGGCATCTTTCGATTAGTTTAAATAGAACTAAGTAGGCGTCTGTCAAACTACACGTACCCGTATGATGATGTACTGTTTTAGATGGTGCAGTTCTTGAGTCAACATAACAGTGGTTTCTTGGGATAAGCATTTTGTAAATGTATTTTGTTAAAAAGAATCACGTCAGCTGCCAGTGGTGGGTAGTTATGTTTTCCCTCCTTCTTTCACGGTAGCATTCTTGCCCGTTTTATTTGATACACTTTTATTTATTTATCTATTTATTTATTCATTCGTTTATGCGATCAATCATTTATTCAAGTACATCTCAATTTTTTATTGCAACATTATGTGAAGGCACTGTACATCAAAATTTTAACAGCATGGATCCTGAGTTTACGAATCTACTTAGAGATAAGTTATGGCAACGAATGCGAACTTCAAACATATTTGACATGCTGAACTTGACTACAAATGATTGGGCTGGAATCGGCACAGGAAATGTGCAAATGACTGCTGCTATTACAAAAAACCCACAATCAAGTAAGCTTAAGAAATAAAACTAGCGAGAGAGAGATTTTAGGCACAGATCAAGACATAACTATACAATGACTCTCTGTTCGTAAATATTTGAAAGCAAAAAGCACAAGGACAAAAAACCATGGCAACACAATTTCAACTTTCGTTTAAACGCCCCAGGGTCACGTATGTCGACCCCTTTATCTGGAAGGCCGTTCAAATGTCCTATGGCATTGGGTACAGTATATGAGTTTCAAGCCTTTGTTTGTCTTAAGACACGTTGCAAGCGTCGACGACTGTAAAGATGGTGAAGTATACAATGCTCACCAGTAAGCGTTTGTGCAACTTGATAAAATGATTGCTTGGGCTGGTTATTTATTTAGAATGGACACGTTTGTACAGCGGAAGAAAACGAGGACATAGGAAGGGACACAACACGGGAACTAATGTTGTGTCCTTCCCTGTGTCCTTGTTTTTTTGTGCTGCAGAAATATGGCCGTAGTGCAGATGTGTTGTGGCCGTTGATTATTTTATGAAAAAGGCTGGCAGAATCATTGTTCTTGCGTGACAACAGCGATGGAAGTGACAGCTTCGAATTCATATCAGACACGCCCGATTCTCGTCTGTTGGCGCCGATGATGAGCTAAGCTCAGTGATGTCGTACAGATTCAAGGGACTGAATTAGGCATGCTTGATGAAGCGACCATACGGATGGTGCAATTTACAGCAGTGGACTCAATTTACAGCAAAGGAGAATAATGCAGAAGCATTCACACAAAAGTGCTCACTCACAAAGTGCTCACTCACTAAGCGAAAATAAAATGGTCTGTATCATCCGTTATATTCATAACAGTTACGCAATTTACGCAGCAACAAAAGTTAAAAGAAACGCTTGATTTCTCGTTAGAAAAAAATTCAAAAAGTCAAAAACAAAAGTTTCTTCCTGAAGTGCAAGATCAAAGATAACAAATAGATATGGGTGTGTGAGCAGCTGCCAAAACGTGAGTCACGAATACACCAACGTAATTATTTTCCAGACGCAAAAGATATGACGTTACACCCGCAAGGTCACACCAGCATCGCGGAAAAACTAGGTCTGCATACTCCCGCCTTTTCTCTTTAGCACGACACTGTGAGCGAAGTCTAAGCGCGCGCTGCCATCAGACGGCCCTGTTTGCCTTTCACACTTTGACACCGGCGCCTGCATGTTGCCGTTGTTGTGAAGTCAACGCTTTGCCCTACATTACCGCTGACCACTGGCACCAGCAAAGGGATCCGTGCGGAAGACAGTAAGTACACGACGACGGAAGAGAAGGTTTCAAACGGCGTGCCTAAATAAGCAAGTCGCCGGCTGCCCGAGATCTGAGCAATCCGCTCCGACAAATCCGCCTCCTCCAACCTGCCGGGCCACACCCCTCAATGTCACGCAGCAGTGAACTCGCAGTCGACGTACAATCAAACGAATGAAAAAGAAGAGTACATTGACGTAGAGCAAAGCACGTAGCAAACGAAGAACGAGTAACTCGAAACACTGAACCGATGAGCCACCTCGCTATATCCAGTTGTATAAGGAAAAAGACAAGGTACTCCACGTTGGGGGGAGGGAGGGAGGCTACCCGTCTTTTTCCACTTGAGCCACGCGTTGGCCTCGAGAGCTCCCGTTCGTGTAGAGACGTGTCGCCATCGGTTCTCGCAAGGGCTTCAGTCAAAAACAAACGCCCCGGGAAGTGGTCTTTGTCAGGGTTTTCCTGATGTCAAGAGCAGACCGAGAGGCGGGAAAGCGAAATGCTCCTTTCGTGCAGTGAAGCCGTCGACGCACGATCTTTTCTTGTTGCCGCCGTAGTCACTAGAACTTTGTTAGGGCCTTCCCCTAGTCATGCTGTACACCAGCGAGACGTGCTGTGGGCTTAGTCCAACGAATAAAAGCGGGGGTGGTTGTAGGTCGATGTATACACATTTGTCGAATCGTTACTCGTCATTGCCCTCCTGCCAGGAACATTGTCATTGTGAAACTGCTTTCCAATAAAGCAAAAAAGAACTAGAAACAATAACAATAACGCTCATTTTGATATTAGGATGTGCATTCACAGTGCCACGCTCGAAAGGTATTTGCTAGATGAACTTCTAAAAATTCACTCACGCCAACGCACGCGAAAGTGTTAACTAAAGCTGTAACAGCACGGATAAAGATAGAGTGGTCGTGTGCATAAAACTGCAGTAAAAAATCGGGCAAGGGCCAACTGTAGCTTCGTTTTTGACAGCTCAGAGAATGCCTGAATGGGAAATTTACAAGAGCTCGTACGAAATAGCGCCAACGAAAGAAGGTATAGCCGAAAATTCATACTAGTTATTTGAATTAGTTTCCATTTCACCTGAACAACATTGATGTAGCGCGAGCGCACTACCGGACACGAAAAGGCACACGAACACATCGTTGTGATTTTTTTATCCTTCTTGGTCAAGCAGAGCAACTGGGCCGTTTATTACAAGCTACAGGGGTAGGCATGAGAAGCGCACAATGTTTGCCTAGTGGGGCATATCCACAAGATTATATGCACTTCTTGTGATACAACTTGGAAGCTCCCTCTCCAGCAACATATCTCCATAAAGCACTAGAATTGAGCTTCACATGCAGCGCGTACAAATGTTGCTTCAATCTGCCCCTTCTACAATATCGTTTTCTTTATCTTTATGACCTTGACCACCGGGTGTTTTAGCCGCATTTATATAGGTTCATATGTTGCACTGCTCGGCACGACAACCGCTGTCAAAATGCCGACCGTGACAGGATAAGGACTTAAAGCTGAGGCGCTCCTGTGTTCATAATTAGGTGCACCTGAAAGAGCCACAGAGTTTTGAAATTATCCCAAACAGCCATGACGCAGGTAGACACTATCTCAAGATTGACACTTCGGGTTCCAGTATTCAATGATCTCTCAAAGTAATGCGTGAATGCATACGTTAGCAAGCACATGTATGCTTGTGTGGTGTGGTTTGGTTGTAGATAGAAAATCACAACTCCACTTTACCATAATAAATAACTACATTTCATTAGGCATGTCTCACATGTTAATTTTTTAACTATCTAATACTCTCTATTTAGTTCGTAAAACAATGCACACTCTCTTATGAATTCTGTAAAGATGTAAAATGTTGGCAGCAGTTTTGACAAACTTTATGGCACTATCATATATACTGAAACACTCGGCTCCCGGAAAAGTCTTTCAATATTTTTTCGTTAGCACACCCTAATTTTACTGGCTGCCGTCTGTTGCACCAAGATTTAATAAGAATCGTCTAAAACATACGTACGGTTATGTGCCGAAAAACTGTCCCTCACACTCGCACACAGCCCATGAAGTCGCGTGGATGCCATAACGAGAATGTTAGCGTTGAAGTGGATCTTTCGATCTTGTGATTATTGCATTGCGCAGGCTTTTCTTCAAGTGCTTTAAGCTGCGTTTTTCCGCAATCGCGCCTGCAATATGAATATTTTCCCACCACTGGTTCTCTCCGGCTTTTTGTTTCGTACTGATCAAGGGAATGTGTCATTTCAATTTGATTATCTTGTGCTGCACTGCAGAGCATGCGAGTGGCAGAAGAAGAAGAAGAAGAAGAAGAAGAAAGGAATGGCATGAATGTTAACAAAACGCACGTCCGCTTCGCTACGTTACACTGGCCGAAATTAGAAAGCGGTGATAAGAGAGAGAATGAAAACTCGAATG